TACAAGAGGAAAACCAGCTGCACAAGATATCTGGCACAGCCTGAGAAAACAATACCCTACACAGTACGAACCCCAGGGCAGAGCCACAGCCAAAATACTGTCCAAAAACAGAAACATCTTGAATATGAAGGTATGCTGGTTTTGGTAGAGTTAACTTTCTTCAGAGTGGCTGGGATGGGGCTGTGTGTTGTGCTGAAAACAAGGTCGATAATATAGTGATGTTGTTACTGCTGAGCAGGGCCTACACAGAGCCAAGGTCTTCTCTGCTTCTCATACTGCCACACTGGAGAGGCAGCGGGGGGGATGTGGGAGGGGACACAGCCAAGGACCCAAACTGACCCCAAGGGATATTCCAGACCATATGCATCAGTATATAAAGCTGGGGGGAAGAAGGAGGAAGGGGGGGACATTTAGAGTGATGGTGTTTCTCTTCCCAAGTCACTGTTACATGGGATGAGGCTCTCCTGGAGGTGCTGAACACCTGCCCAACTGTGGGAAGCAGGGAATTAATTCTTTGTTTTGCTTTGCTTGTGTGATGGCTTTTGCTTTCCCTATTACACTGTCCTTATCTCAACCCATGAGTTCTCTGGCCTTTACCCTTCTAATCCTATCTGGAATGAGTGAGCAGCTGCTGGGGCTTGGGGGCTGCCTGGAGTTAAACCAGGACAGAAGGGGGGTGTGTATGTTTTGTCACTGTCATGGGAAACCTCATCACCAACTCACCGTGGCATCCAGGCTGTGCAGGCACCCGTTCACCCTCCCTGCTCCAACGACCCTGGTTCTCCAGGGTCTCCCTTCAACTGCTCCGAGGTCCCTGTCACTCCATCTGCCTGCTCAGAGCCTGGTTCACCCTCTCCCTGCCTCCTGTTCCAGAAACCTGGCTCTTCAGCAGCCTTCTGGCCTCCAAACCAACGGTTCATGACTGTGTATGGCAATACGGGGGGAGGGTGGTGATCACCACCCTCTCCCACCTGAAATCCTGCACATTTCTCCTCTTAAACACTACAAGTGCTCAATAAACTGTTATAGTACACAGTCTTAATCTGGCCAGTTATTCTGTGCAATTTTTTCATCCATCATACATTTCAGAATGAAACTAGAAACACTGCAGTTGATCTATTCAAGGCTATAATTGCTGTAGTGCTCACTGTAAAAGCAGTGAATTTCTTTCTCATTTCCCTTTTAAAATCAGTTTTTATTTGGGACAGCAGATTTATTTATTTACATTATATTTTTCTTTTTAAATACTTAAATTATTATTTATTCCTTAAGTATATTACACCTAATCTTTTGCATCAGTACCACTTGGGGACGAAATTATCAACTAAAATGAAGCAGAAGCAACTTCAGCTGGCATCTGAAAGCTACACAGTACTTACCAATGTCGTGAATTGGCTGCTTTACTCCTATTTCATTATTCACAGTCATTACAGAAACCAAACTTGTGTCTGGCTGGAATGCAGCCTCCAGCTCCTGGTGAAAGATTCAGAGGGACAGAAGTTGTGACTAACAGGTCACAAAGGACACAAGGTCCTCTTAAGCATCAATTTGAAGGAAAAACAACTTCTATTTTCAGTTTCTGTCTGTCAGTAACAACTTACCTTCAAATCTATGAGCCCATTGTTTTTAACAGGTAGATACGTGATCCGAAAACCTTCTGTTTCCAAGGAACGACAAGAATCCAACACACACTTGTGCTCTGTTTGGGTAGTAATTATGTGCTTTTTCCTGGATTTATAGAACCTTGCAACACCCTGTCAGGCACAATCCGTGAACAAGAAATGGGCCATTAGACCACTGAAGAAAGCCATGACTGGAAACAAGAAATCAATACTTTGATAAAATTCATTTTGATCTTTCCTGTCTGACCCAAAGTCATGAATCTAAAAGGTACTGACACATAATCCACACTATGTGTCTCCATCAGCACTCGTTTTTCAAAGCAACTCGTTTCTCAAAAAACCTGTGACAATTTTAACTGACAGAAGTTACAGATGTCATTAACCAAAATACTTTTTAAAAAACATTTTATGTGGAGTCACATACACTGACAAGTCTGAACAACCACATACTAAAGGTTAAAACACAACCCAGTCTTCATCAGAAAAAAGTTCCTAATCAGCATGTCCACTGTATTTCACGATAAAGATTTTAATTACATAAGGAGAAATGTTGTATTTGGTGCATGTAAGATAAACATTGAATATTTTACCCTCAAAAACACATCCTGTGCACTAAAACATTCCATGTATTTCCTCCAAGTTGTAGCAGAGGATCACAAGGAGTAAATCCAGGAATGCAAATATTTGCTACCTACTCCAACATATTAACATTTAAACTGTTCAAAGATGCATACAGTTCTTAAGAGCATAATTTTAACATCATAAATAACTATCAGTATAAACCTTTTACCTTAATTGCCATATTATTAGATTCTGTTGCACCACTGGTAAATATAATTTCCCGTGAATCAGCTCCTATTAAATCTGCAACTTGCTGTTTAAAAAGAAATATAATGTCGATTTGTTAAGAAAATATACAGTGAATCCACCACAGCAAAATACAAGCAAAATGTTTTCAAAAAAACCCCCTCGAGCCTCAAAGGGATTACAGCTGGTCATTACAGAAGTAGTATTAAGGAGTAGCCTGTCATAAAAGAGAAAAAAAGTAGACAAAAGCCCATTACACATTACTTAAAAAAAAAAATTACAAAGACCCACTCCCTAAGATTAGGAGAGTGATAAAATATAGAGTAGCCCAATCACTGCAGCATCACGCTCGTGACCCCAGGAAACCAAAATTCCTGAGGCATCTTTGTCTAAAGTTTTGGGTTCTGCCACTTCAGCTGCTCTAATCTCACTGTTAGGGCAAGTGCTGGGACGGGACAACCCCGGATGTACGGACACAGGGGGGAATGAGAGGCTCTGGGAAAGGGGTCGGAGGTTTGGGCTGAAGCAGGTGGAACAGGAGCCAGCAGTGCCCTGGCAGCCCCAAAGGCCAGCCCTGTCCTGGGGGGCATCAGGCCCAGCAGGGTGAGGGGGGTCTGTCCTGCTCTGGTCTGCACTGGGGCAGCCTCAAGTCCTGGGGCAGGTTGAGGGGCCTCCATATGTGGATATAAAGCCATTAAAGAGCACATGCAGAGGAGGCTACAAAGATGGTGAAGGGCCTTGAGGGGCCATGAGGAGCAGCAGAGGGCACTTGGCTTGTTCAGCTGGAGGAGACTGAGGTCAGACCTCCCTGGGGTTCTGCAGCTTCCCCACGAGCAGCAGCGGAGGGGCAGCACCGACCTCTGCTCTGTGACCACTGAGAGGGCCTGAGGGAACGGCTGGAGCTGTGCCAGGGCAGGGTCAGGTTGGATCTCAG